CCTATGTGCCTATTCTTCATCCTGCTTCTGTTTCTTGTAGACTAAACAGTCTACAAAGCTATGCTTGGTAGAACAGTGAATAGGACAATAGATGGGAAGGTCTTCAGGTTTACCTTGCCATCACGGTGGTGCCTTTCCTTTTCCTATGACAAGGGCTTTAGCTTCACCAGTCTTGCACTTCTTGTCCTTCTTCTTCTTGTCTTCCTTGCCAGACTGACCGTGCATTCGGGCTCGGGAGTCAGCTGCCTTCACCGTTGCATCAAGAATCTTGTAGAGTTCAGCAACCGTCTTCGGGTTTTTGGTGGCTAACTTCTTCGCAGTTCGTTCATCCTTGCACCCTTGCTTGAAGGCTACAATCACCCAATCTTCACTCATGTCAGGGATCGTGTTACGAATCTTGCTGAACCAGCGGATAAAATCCTGAAGATGCTCATCGGGTTTCTGAATACACGCAAACAGATCGTCCTCGTGGCCGGGACTGCTATAAGTTGCATGAAAGTTGGCTTCGAATAGCTGGCACAGATGGCTCCAAAATTGGACCGTGCACTCGGGCAAATTCATCAGTCAAGTTTAGGCAGACCCTTGAAGAACAATTGGTAGGAAATTGGCTTTTACATAGTCATCTCATGTTGCTGCCTTGATCACCATCTCATAGATCTGGATCCACTCCTTGGGGTTGGTAGTCCCATCGTATTTCTCAATGGGTCTAGGACGGAACTTGTCGGGCCATATCACCTGGCGCAATCTATGCGCAAATGCTGAATAGTTCCTGTGCTGGGCCATGTTGATATTGATGGTTTACTGAGCATCATGATTTCTACGATGTGTCTCAAGCTCGGGCCGTAGATCTCGGTCTCGCCTTGGTTGATAGCGGTTTCCTACCGATCGATTAGATCTCTCAGGATGAAGGTTACGACCTCTAGACTAAGATCGAGACTTGGCCGCTTTGGCATCTATGCGTTGCTTCATCCAATTAGCCAGATCCTGAGCCTGCTAGAAGATTTTTGCCAAAGGTGTGCCTTCTTCAGCCAGAGCCCCCATAGTTCCTAGGAGCATTCTGAGCTAGATGTTATCTTCCTAGGCTGCTCGGAAGTCAAAGCTTAGATTCCTCGAAGCCAGGGTTAATTGAGTCAGCACCCAGGGCGCAACTGTATTGAGTGTTGGTGCATTGCTAAGGCATGAAGGTGGTCGAGTAGCTGACGACCCAGCCTCATCTACCGGGGTTTGATCACGACTAGCCATATAGACTCGATAACTTTCAAAGGGATCTAACTCGCTGTCTGAGTCCTCGAAGTCTAGATCAAGTTGAGCGGTTTTGTCGTTCTTCTCCTCCTCATTTGGTTGTGCCCAAGAGGTGAAAAACCTCCTAGCCAGTGTGGGTCAGATCGGGATCATCGATCCCTGTCCACTTGAGGTTGAAATCACCATCATGCTCGAATACCAGGCTTCCAAAGTGGATAGTTGGTGGCATGTTGCGGGATGGTGAATAGATCTGAGGTCCTGAGTGGTAGTCGCCCAAGATCTCAGATTTGACCGAAGTCGGCATTACCTCGACGTCGGAATGCGTCAGATTGGCATACCAAACTCCGCTGATGATCGGCATGATCACTCTTTGCGCGAAATCCCCCTACCTGGCATGCCTCTGTCGGTGTTTTTTACCTGTAGATATTCGGTTCTTAGAGGAACTCGCCTGGTGCAAAGAGCAAGCACAGTCGGGACATAAGATTTATCCTAGTTCGGACCCTCGGGAAGCGAGTAACAACCCTATGTCTAGCAGCTACTTGTTTATATTGCGATCTCGTAGAGATGGCGAGATGATAGGTTACAAAGGGCTATGCCTATGAGAGTTTTGATGATTACAACAGGGCGGTTAGCTAGCGAGATGCCAACGGAATCAGAAATGGTAGTTACAAAGTTGGGTCATGAACCTAGAGATATAAAGCAAGGAAGAAGAGAAAAGGGGACAACACAACTACAAGGTTGAGGCATAAGCTCCCATGTCAAGGGTAGGTCGTTGATAGCCGAGCAATCTGTATTATCAAAACTCCAATGATCTCCATTCCAAAAGCGTATGTAAGGCACTGGGTCAAGAATGACAAACAACAGTTGTGGTGTACATCCTCTATGAGGTACATCTAGGATCCAATCTATGAGGAAGTGGTAATTACAAGGTTGGGTCATGAACCTAGAGATACAAAGCAAGGAACCGAAAATGATAATTACATGGTTGCCTAGGGTTCACAAGACCTTTTGGTGTTAATGATGTCGGTGATGCAACACTAAAAGGAAGCAAAGATCGACACTATTAGAAATCTTCATTGTGTAGTGCTTCTTCATAATAGCCATGTTGTAGGAAATAAAGAACTAGATGAGCGGCTAAGAAGGAATAAGGATACAATAGCCAAGGTTGTTTCCCTCTATGAGAAGAGGGTCTCTATTGCAATGGTAAAGAATAAGAAGATGGTGCTCCTAGTGAACTACTTTGGTTGATGTTTATGGCTCACATGTTTGGAATTTTGATACTCAATAAGTAAGGTGAGATGCTCATAAATGCATTGTATTTTGCCAAGTCAACTCTTACATAGACTGACTTGGCATCTTTTTGCTCTTTCGGATGGCAAAGCGATGCCACAAGTTGTATATAGTTCAGGTGATAGTAGGCTAGTGTGAGGTGGTGAATTGGTGCCCCTCTAATCTATAGAACTCTGAGTCTAGTGTGTAGCTGACATCCATTGAGTGATGGCTGATGGTAGCCACTCTAACTATGGATAGAAGACTTGAATATGGTGTGTGGATGAATTTAAAGTGCTAGGTGAAACATTTGTTTCAAATGGCATGTGCATGTGCTTGGTGAACCTTTATGAATTACGAATTTGCTTGAGGTGGATGCTTCTATAATCATGACCTGTTTATGTGCCACTATGTAGCTGTTGGTTTAGTTTAATGTTTTGCTTTACCTTTTGGGGTCAACAATGAATCCACATTGACAAAGATATATAATGTGGCACGTGTTTCTGTTTGTACAATTCTGCTTCTTGAGCCTAGTAAATTGTCATTTGTCCTTGATTATATACTTGTGGTAGTTCTACTTGACCTAGGCAATGTTTGTCTATCTTATGTAATGATGTGTTTTTGCCAGAGATTGTTCTGACTTGTTTTGTCCAATGACGATTGCAGACTTAGCCATGTAAACAACTCAATAGGGATTGTTGTCATGCTTGGATCATACAAAGCATTGTCACTCCCCACGAGTTGTGTACTTAGCCATAGGGTTAATTTTGAGGTCCAGTTCAAAAGCTTGCATCGGAAACAATAAACATACTACATGTTTCTTTGGTACTAGTTGAAATCATGGGGATCGCTTTGCATCGATACATAACCCAAGCCAAGGAAACCTTATCCCTTGCCATGCAAGGTGACAACACTTCTACCGATTCAGAAAACCAAATACATGAGCACATGCACTCACCCCTACTACCATACAACCAAACAAACCCTTCACCCACCCCCCAAAAAATAACCAAACATGTGGAGCTACATCACATGGCCATATCCCTCATTGGCCTGCATTGGCAAACCATGCAAACTAAACCTATAGCCAAGGGATCCAACAATCACTTCTAGAGTTTTGGGGTTTTGGACATTTGAGGATCTTACATAGATTGGTGATTTAGACAAGGTGCCTAGATGTGCTCTTGTAGATGAATTGAAGTGCGAATAGGACAAAGCTGCATGTTAAATTGCCGAATATTGAGTTTGGGTATTGGGAGAAATAAACATTCAAAACAAGCTTAGTTTATCAACCTGTTTTAAGTAGCCATAGAATTGGTTTTCACATTATTTGTTATGTGTTTTTATGGAAGGGTCTCTCTCAGGTCATTAAGTGAAATTTTAATTTATCAACCTATTTAAGAAGTCATGAAATTAGTTTTCTCATTGAAGATTGAGGCTACTATATATCCCTCAGTTCTAAATTATAAATCATTTTAGTTTTTTTTATCTTATATCAAACTTTCATACTTTTGACCAGGTTTATAGAAAGATGCACAAACATCCAAGTATCAAACAAGATTCATAAGATATACCATAAAATATATTTTGACAGTGCATCTACTTAATAAATTTGATCAAGCTACAGAAGTTGGACTTAGGACAAAGCTAAAATAACTTACAAATTGGAACATAGAGAGTAGATGCATCATGGCGTGTTTATTTTATAAGTGTCTCTCTATCCATAGACTCCCACGTACAAGAAATACAAAATTATTTATCGATATTGATGTGGTAGGCTAACTAGAAGAAACCACCTGGGCCAACCATACAAATATATAGGATTTTTATTTAAAATTTCTTTTTTTTCATGGAATAATAATCCAAATAAAAATAGCAAAAAATACACTCCTACCATTAATATAAAACACATGATTTGTACTTTGCCAACTCAAACAAATCATAATTTTTTTATATGAATTCGGATGAAGACAAATTCGGATAAAGATTTATGGCATCAAATAGGTATACTATGAAAATATAATTAATGAAGAATCTAATAATACTTAGTTGATATCTTAAATGTTATTATCTTATTACATAAATTTGGTTAAATTTAAGATATTTTAACTCTCTAAATTTTTTGGAATGACTTATAATTTAGAACGAAGAAAGTAATAAATAAACAAAATTCGAATATCCGTTGCCTGCCGGACGCGGGCTTGACAAAACTGGGCCTTAGTAGTCAGCCCAGGCTCGGACAAAACCAGGCGCGTTGGCCCTCTCCATTTTCGCCATCTTCCCGCCACCCCAAAAATTTCCGCCCGAACTCCATTTCAATTTTCAACATCCTCCTCACATTTCGCTTCCCAAGTTCCCACGAAGAACTCGAATCCAATCCAACCTGCCACGACCCATTCTATAGCCCCGGCGTCCTAGCTCCTCCAGATTCCGCAAACCCCGATCCATCCTCGACAGCGACTGGCGTAGCAGGTTCCTTCCCAGATCAGATGGGGAGGCCGCGGAAGACCAAGGCCGCGCCGGAGCCAGCAGCCCCCGCCTTCTCGATCGGTGCGCTTGATCTCCGCCCACGATCGATCGCGTTTAACTCCTTGCTTGGGTTTTCTTAGAAGCCCATACACGTCTTGTTTGGGCAGGCAACTGCAAGGTGGAGATCCGCGGGAGCGGATTGCGGTGCGAGACGACGGAGCAGGGTCTGACGATCTCCGGGCCCAGGGGCGCCAAGGCCGTCGTCTCTGGTACGCTGCTTCGAGGATGAGGAGCACGCACTTTATTCGATCTCGTAGTTTCGTGCAAACTATCGCCTCGGTTTACTCCTCCGCTCACACTGCCTTTTTGTGGGTGTGTCACGACGCTTGTGCAGTTTCTGGGGATCAGAGGAGCGCTTCGAATGGCGTCGGTGAGTGACTGCTGGGGTGTCTGCGGTCCGGTCATCTTTGATTTGGATTCAGTGGTGATCCATTCGCTCCTGTCATCTGATTTTGTATCGTATGTGTAGGTGAGGGCTCTCAGTTCATCCTCCTCAATCCAAGCGATGCAGATAGCCAAACCAAGTCCTTGCTTCAGGTAATCAAGTTTGTAATTTGTCTGCTTGGTTCGATAGCATTCAGAAAAAGTGAAAATTGTGACTATGAGTTGTTACACATGATATGCGTGCTAAGTTATTTGGTTAGTTCACCGTTTTTCTTGCAAATGCATGATAGCTCATATCTATTCTTCCTTTGATATTTCCAGAAAGTATTAATGCTTTACAAGCAAGAACTTCCTACTATGGACTACGCTGCAGACACTGAGAGGAAGTCAGGGTTTCTTGAAAAATGCACAACTAATGGGTACAAACTTATCTTTCTTTCTTTATCTAAATTTCTATAATGTTGGGATGTCACTTGTGACTTATGACTCATGGTATTGATAAAATAGTTTTCACTGGAGTTTTGCCTTGACAGCACTATCATATTTTGATTACGAGAGTATAAAGAATTAGTATCCTGATTTCATGTTCCTGTTGTCCAGGAAATACAAGACTCTAATTCTGATGTCTAGCTCTGTGGCACAGCATGAAGAGGTAAACATCTTTACCATTTTACTACCAACGTGCTGTTCCATTTGACTCCGTTGTGTGTAAACACTATTCAGGACTTTTTTGTCTGACCATTTGTTTGTATTATTAAGTATATAGTACATAAAAGTTTCTGATATCTCATTAAACATATATTTGCTAAAAACTAAACCAAGAGATAAAAATTAACATGCTGTAATCAAGCAGAGAGTTCATATATTTAGAGTCCAACGTTATTAAGCCTTAGTCGGCTCATCAAGTGACTAGATGACTGACTTGTCCACTTGGTCGCCTAAGTCAATCAACTAGTCCGATGTAGCCAGTGGCGGAGCTAGAGCAAAATCAAGGGGGGTGCGCCAGCCTTGTGGGTGCATAGAATTTTACAGTGTGGGTGCATATATGGTGAAAAATTGAACATAATCACTGTTTTTCTGATTTTTCGTGGGTGCGGCCGCACCCCCTACCATGACTATGGATCCGCCCCTGGATGTAGCATCAAATACTGTACAGCATGAAATTGTTTAAGAACATATACATCTTGTATATCATGAGTTCACAAGGATAATGACATCAGTGAATGATGAGTTGGTTACTTAACTTACATGGTTTTAAACTTTTAATTTAACATATAGTTCCTTCTCCCCCTAGTGAGTTTCTGTGCTTGAAACTGAGAGGCAACACCATGTCATCTGTATAGTGACCCACGATTAGTTGCACTAGTTGATGATTAGTCGCTTGGGTTTGTTCACTAGCGCCCCTAATCGAGCCATTCTGTCTAGTTATTGCCCATGTATTACTAGACGGTTAATCGTGGGTTCTTCAACAGCTTGAAAACATTGATGGAGTCTACAAATCAATTGATCTTGCTAGAGTTGTGAGAATCCATTGCTAGGCTAACCCTAGAAGGGTAGCAATATATATTAGTCATACATGGGCCTCATGGGCCTAATATACTCATACTCTCATACTCCAACATTTTCCCATGATCTCGAACTACAAAGCCATGAGAGGAGTTCTGATTGGACATGAAAAGAAGCACACACACGAGCCCCCCCCACGCACGCAACTAGCCACCACCAATGATGTTGAGGCTGGAGCGAAACTCGGTGAAGGTCGATGACGGGAGGCCCTTGGTGAAGATGTCGGCAAACTGGGAGGTGGTCGGGACGTGGAGGACCCGAACATCGCCGATGGCAACCCGATCACGGACAAAGTGTAGGTCGATCTCCACATGCTTGGTCCGTTGGTGCTTTGCTGGGGTTGGTGGAGAGGTACACACTGACCGACGTTGTCGCATGCAGAGACCGGCGTGCTCCGAGAGAGGGCTGTGGAGCTCGGCAAGGAGCTGTCGGAGCCAGGAGGCCTCGGCCACACGCGCCGCCGTTAGCGACAGCTCGGTACTCTGCCTCAAGATCGATCGGGAGACCACCATTTGGCGCTTTGACGAGGACACCAGGTTGCCGCCAGTAAAGACAACAATGAGCGGAGGTAGAGCGCCGAGTGTCCGGACACCGGCCCGGTCGGCGTCGGTGTAGACGACGAGCTCGGTGGAGGAAGACCATTGAAGGAGTAAGCCAGAGTGGTCGACAAGTGCTGCTGGAGGTAGAAGGAGGAGGCGCTTGAGCGCAGTGATGAGGTGAGGGCTCTCGGGGATCATGCATGTGAAGGCATATCTCTGGCACCTTTGCATAGGTGATGTCTGGCCTGGTGAAGGTGAGGTACTGAAGGGCACCTGCAAGACTCCGAGCAAGCGATGGGGGTGCCGCCACGGTGGTTCCCATGACCTCTCGACGCTTGCCCTGTGTGTCAAGCGGAGTAGAGCAGGCTTGCGAGTTAGTCATCCCAAAGACGCTCAGGATATCAAGAGTGTAACGTCACGGTGGTGAAGGAGAAGGCCGGTGGGGCGAGGCTCACAAATGACCCGAGGAAGTGGTGGAGCACACCAAGATCCTTCATAGCAAACTCCTGCTGAAGAGAGGAGATGACACACGGTGAGTAAGGACCGGATGGAGGTCTGTGAGGACAATATCATCAACGTAGAGCAGCAGATAGGCAGTCTCAGCTCCATGATGATAGATAAACAGGGACGTATCGGACTTGGCCTCCACAAAACCCCAGTGTCAGCAGGAAAGCAGCAAACCGAGAGTACCACGCCCGGGAGGCCTGCTTGAGGCCGTAGAGAGACTTGTTGAGCCGGCAGACCATGTCCGGACGAGAAGAGTCAACAAACCCCGCTGGCTGGCTGCAGTATACTGTCTCGGTGAGAGTCCCGTGGAGAAAAGCAGTCTTGACGTCCAGCTGATGCACGGGCCAAGAGCGACTGAGAGCCAGGGAGAGCACTGTGCGTACAGTGGCCGGCTTCACCACGGGACTGAAAGTCTCATCATAATCGACTCCAGGGCGCTGAGTGAAACCCCGGAGAACCCAGCGAGCCTTGTACCTCTCAAGGGTACCATCAGCCCGCCGCTTGTGTGTCCAGATCCACTTGCCAGTGACGACGTTGGATCTAGGTGGACGGGGCACCAGATCCCATGTCTGGTTGACGAGGAGAGCCGCGTACTCCTCTTCCATCGCGCGGCGCCAATGAGGGTCCGACAAGGCGTCGCGAACGGAAGAGGGTACATGAGAGATCTGCGGGTCGTCGGGCATCGTCGCGAGAGCCCGGGGCCGCAGGGTACCAGCCGCGTATCGCGTCACCATAGGGTGAACATGCCGTGGGTGTCGGTGAAGGAGTGGCGGGTGGTACACCGGCGACACGACACGGGCAGCTTGAGGCGGCGGCGGCGGTGTAGGGGTCGCCGGCGGAGAAGGGGCCACCGGTGGTGTAGGCGTCACCAGTGGAGAGGGGGCCCCCGGTGGTACCGGAGGCAGCGGTGCCGCCTGCACACGGCGCTGGTAGACGTGCACCGGCTGGGCGAAACGCGCAGGAGGTGCGACAGGCGGCGTCCCCGGACCCGCGGCGGACGTAGGGGCAGGTGCAGCTCCGGAGGGCGACGCCTCCGGACCCGTGCAGGGCGCAGGGCCAGGGGCGTCACTGGTGGGCGGCGAGCGGGGGCACGGGCCCGGCGAGGGGCACGGGGAAGCATTACCTGCAGGAGACAGCGGTAAAAGTGGCTGGACCACCGTGTCAGTGGGAAACAGAGAGAAGGTGTCAGGATCGGGGGTGGGAGGTGGTGTGGTGGTGGTGGAGAAGGGGAAGACAGACTCATCAAACACCACATGGCGAGAGATGAGGACCCGACGGGAGGTGAGGTCAAAGCACCGGTACCCCTTGTGATCCGGGGAGTACCCAAGGAAGACACACAGAGAGGAACAGGGAGCGGCTTGTGGGGAGCGGTGGCGGTGGTGTTAGGGTAACATGCACACCAAGACACGAAGGTGGTCATACCGAGGAGGGGTACCAAGAGAGCGTGGTGTGGTGTGGGAGCCGGGCGCAAGTGGAAGGTAGGCGGTTAAGGAGATAGGTGGAGGTGTGCGGACTCTCCGCCTTGAAGCGAAGCAGAAGCGGACGCTGGAGCAGAAGGGTGCGCATGGTGTCGTTCGTGGTGCGAATCATGCGCTCGGCCTTGCCGTTCTGGGAGGAGGTATACGGGCAAGACATGCGCAGCTGGACACCTTGAGAGAGGAAGAAGGCACGGAGGTACCGTTATCGAACTCACGGCCATTGTCACAATGGACGGCCTTGATGGTAAGGGCGAATCGAGTAGACACCAAGCGAAAAAAGTGGAGAAGAGTGGTGAAGGTATCCGACTTTGCACGCAAAGGGAAAGTCCACGAATAATGCGAGAAATCGTCAACCACCACAAGATAGTATTTATACCCAGAAATGCTGATGACAGGAGATGTCCATAGGTCGCAGTGTACAAGATCAAACACATGCGTAGTATGTGAAGAAGAACAAAAAGGGAGACGAACATGACGCCCACCGGTATGCGCATGACACAAGTGCTCATCGTGAGCCCGAGTACAACCAATGTCGGAACTGCGACTAAGCTGCGTCAGAGCATCACGTCCAGGATGGCCGAGGCGACGGTGCCAAGTGGTGGAGGAAGGAGTGGCGGCGAAGGCAGCTGACAAAGTAGACGGCGACGAAGAGAAAGCAGACGCCGGAAACCGAAGGGTGTAAAGGGGTCCCGTGCTGTCACATCGGAGAAGAGGACGCCGGGAAGCCAAATCCTTTACAGTAAGACCAGAAGAGTCAAATTCAACAGAACAGGAATTGTCAGCTGTAAAACGATGAATAGAAAGAAGGTTGTGAACCATAGAGGGTGCAACAAGAATGTCAGGAAGACGAAAGGAACCATGAGTGCCGGCAGCACCCACGGACGTAACTGGAAGACACGAACCATTCGCGACCATGATGGACGAAGGATGAGAGGAAGAAGGAGGGTAAATAGAGGAGAGTATACCAGGGTCTGGAGTAGTGTGGTAAGTGGCACCCGAGTCGGCGATCCAGTCGGGACCGGCAGGCGGTGTCAGGGCCATGGTGCTGAAGGATCTGGCCAAGGCCGCCGGGTTCCAACCGACAGGCCCGGGCGAGGTGTCGGGAGGTGTCACCCACGAAGATGCGCCGGGAGGTGGAGCCCACGCAGACGGGGAGTGAAACCCCGGAGGAGCTCCAGTGAGCAAGGCCGCTGGTGGGCGAGGCTCTCACACGGAGCCGGGAAGGGCCACATGGAGATGCGCCCGACCACGGGTTGTGGAAAGAGGGCTGTGGTGCACCCGTGGAGTCATGGGCGTGGTGGCTCCCGGGAGGGACCGGTGTTTGGTGGCCCCGCGCCCCCACGTCCTCCTCGGGCTGACGGCGGCCGCCGCCACGGCCCCCCACCCCGCTTCGGCCCGGGGAGGAGAACCAAGAAGCGACGACGGCGGTGGAGCGAACGAACGCGCCGGAGGAGTAGCGGCCAGGGCAGTCGAGGAAGACGAGGACCCTGGCGCGGAGGTGGTGGACCTGGCCGACGCATCGAGTGAGCTCCTCCATGACAAGGTCGTCACGGACTGCAGGAAGGAGGGAAAGGGCCTCTGCCGGGTGATCCACGTCCGGAGGTGGGCGTAGCGGTCACTGAGCCCGCGGAGGACGTTGAGGACCAGAATGCGGTCCTCCACGGGCCAGCCAAGGTCGTCGAGGGAGTCCGCCATGCTCGTCATGCGCCGGCAGAACTCGCCAACGGAGAGGTCACCCTGGACGAAGGTGCGGAAGCTCGCATCGAGACGCAGGGCCCGGGCTTCTGCATTGCCCAGAAACTGGCCCTCGAGCGCAAGCCAAGCCCGGCGAGCGTCAGCAGAGTTGCGGACGAGGTCGTGGAGGTCCAAGGAGATCGTCCCGAGGATCCAGGAGAGGACGACGCTGTCAAGGCGCAGCCACGATGGGTTCTGGGCTGCGACCGAGGCGTCGACTAGGACGTGGTCGTCGAGGGCGTAGCGGCGGAGGGTGAGGAGGACCACGTCCCTCCAGCGGGCGTAAGAGGGCGACTCAGGCTCGAGGACGACCGGGACGAGGAGTCGGATGTTCTGGACACCCCCGGCCTGGTAGTGGAGCTGAGCCACGTGCGGGTCGGCCGGGTCGTGCCAGATGACCGCGGTGTGAGACGCGCGGTGACCCGTCGAGCCTGAGGAGGTGGCCGCGGTGTCGTAGGAGGTAGGGAGGACGAGGAGCTGCTCCGCCTCAGCGATCTGGCGGCTGGGGCATCGGCCAGCGTCGCCGCGCTCTCAAAGCGAGGCGGCCGCGCCCGCACCGAACTGGCTGTCCGCGCAAAGAAGCAGCCGAGCGACCACGCAGGGCGGCGGCGAGCGGGAGTTGGCCTCGCCGTCTGGAGAGGGGCGTAGAGGAGGAGGAGGCGGGGAAGAAGAAAGGCTCAGGTTCTCCCAGCGCCCCATGGTGGCTGTGGCGGGGCTGCGCTCGCGCCCACCCCTGGCGGGTGGCGGCGGCAGGTGCCAGCTGCCAGCGCGCCATGGGCGGCCGGCCACCACCACGCGCGCCCCATGATGGGCGGGTGGGCCCCCACGCGCCCACTGCGGGCGCGGCCGGGCGACCAGCGCGCCTGCGCCAGCAAGAAGCAGTGGCGGGCCGAGCCATCCGCGCCCATGACAAGGAGAGGCCAGCCGGTGCGGCATGGTGACGGCACAGCAGCATGTGGCTGGGCCCAGGAGGAGGGTAGGGAAGGGAGGGAAGGCCTGGAAGTAGGTGGGGAGGGAGGGGATGGCGGCCAGCCATGGCGGCGACAAGAGAGGTCGGCCAGCGGCGGCGCTGGCGGCTGGTTGGGAGAAGAAAACCTAGTCTGATACCATGCTAGAGTTGTGAGAATCCATTGCTAGGCTAACCCTAGAAGGGTAGCAATATATATTAGTCATACATGGGCCTCATGGGCCTAATATACTCATACTCTCATACTCCAACAGATCTTATGCATTAAAATTTGATTGGCGTTATCTATTCGTTTTCCCTTTCACAATGTCTTAATTATCCTACTTATATACCATTTCTTGTTAACTTTAGCACGATCTCTGTTACATGTAAATTTATGTCTAGTGCACACCATTAATTTTTGAATGTTAACAACCTAACTTTCTGTGAATAGCTTTGAAGAACTATAAATTAGTTACTTTACCATGGATTTTGAATTTTGGTATGTTTCTATTGGAAACTTGTTATAAGATAATTAGTTTTTTTTTTACCTGAAAAACAGCAGGGGGCCCCCACTGTAAGGATTTTATTAAAGCAAAAAGAACCAACTGTACAACAGAACTAGAATAAAAAAGAAAAGCAAAAAAAAAAAAATGAAACAGGAAGTCTGAGGTAGGATAGACCAAACTATGTACAAAGCTCTATCCGAGAAAGGAAGGGAGCGCGCTTGTTTTCAGAGATCCTGTGACTTTTAGGCAAGCTTCATCAACGAAACCTGTTTTCCAAGCAAGGAAGGATGGTTGGCCTCTACTAAAAATGTTGTTGTTCCATTGCTTCCAAATTTGCCAAGCACTGATGATGAAGACTTCCATGAAAAAAGGGTGTGAGAACCGTGCTTCACTTGCAACAGCATATGAAAGAAATCAATCACAAGGTTCCACTGAACACCAAGGTGCTGCCAACAAGCCTGACTAAAAGGGCGTGTGAAGAAAAGATGAAGAGCTGTTTCTTCAACATTCTGATTGCACAGGACACAATTGTAGTTGTTTCCTTCAAGCTTGCGCTTAACTAGTCAACCACATAATAGCGATTCCTATCATTCTCCTCATAAACAAACTGTACCTACCATGGATAGTATGGGTAGAGAAATGAAATATTCTGCCTAGTTGCTTTTACTCAAACTATCATGCCAGGTTTCACAACTACTCTTTCATGCAGGTCATAGCTACTGTATCATATCAGATTGTGCCAGCTGACACTCAGTATGCTGAAATACCTCTGGCAGTTGTGAGATCATCTTATCAACGTGTGGTACGTGTCCTTTGCAAGTTTCATTAAATCTTTTTTGGATTCTTTACTAAAGGTCAGTATTGCTTACAAGGAACTGTAACACATCACTGCACAGCTTGAGATTTTCACATATTTGTTTCCTCTGTTTAAAATTTGTAGGGGTATACAGACAGTAATGGATGCTTTCCTTTTACTTCTGAATTTTAAATTCATTTCAGTAAATCTATTTTACATGGTTAGATGCCGAGGAGAATAATTTTACTTGAATATCATTTAGTACATTATCTTAAATCAAGATTCCAGACTCTTTAAATGAACCTCCTGCAAAACTCAATTTGTTTGATGAATTACCAGTGTAAACTGACAATTATGGTATTTATGCGAAACATAATATTGTTTTGAATGCATGCAGTTATCCACTATCTCTACTCAAAACATTTCATGGCTGACACTGGTTGTTTTGATGTTCAACTCAGGGTATTGGCCAGCTCTTATATAAGGAACTATCGCAGAGGCTTCAGAATGTTGGTGTCACATCCATTTTCTGCTGGGCAGATAAGGTCTCCGAGGGTTTTTGGCTAAAACAGGCAAGTAAAAGAGTTACTGGATAAACCATTTCCCCCCTCTTCTTTCGGTGCATAAAGTTAATGTGATCTGCAGATGGTATTACTTAGCAATTCAGTGCTTGCATTAAATTTAGGTTTAGAGGAGAAATAAAGCCAGCTTTTCCAATTAATAAGCATCGAATGTTTGCTACATTTCAGACATAGGGTATTCTGGCAGGGTGACATGGCAATCTGATGGAAACAAATACTTAACTTGTTATGTTAGTGCATGCATTCCACCAGTCTGGAATATGTACAAATTGTATGCCCCTAAATGATAAAAAACCAAAAATAAAATTTTTTGTTAGGCTCCTACTATCATGTTTCCTTGAGTACCAGTATGTTGTGCTGACGTGTCTTTGCTTTGTACCTTGAATGTACTGCAGGGTTTTGTATCTATTGGAGAAGTGGATACTAAAGGTAAGGTTCGAAAGTTCCAGTAAGGGCTTATATAAAGAGAGCATTATGCTTTCCTGGAGGATCAACACTTATGGTCGCACATCTTAAGAAGCAATTGCCAATCATGCAAACATGGGAGAAACCCCAGACATCACTCCATACTGTAGTACCAGATAGTAAGCCTACACTCCATACTTCTTATCATGTAACATTTTAGGTTTTTTGAATCACAAATATGCTGTTTCTGAAGCCTGTGTCATGGCAAATTTAAGTCTGATGCAAAGTACATGTTGCAAGCTTCTTATACTAAAATTTTAGATCTACCATAGTCAGGGGCATTCTTTTTCCCTTTTGTTCTTTTCCAAATTTATCTGTGATCAGTCAATCCAAGAGAATACACAAAGCTTGAAAAATAGCTACATTATATGCATTGCTACACTAGGGCATACTAGTTGGAGACTTGGAGTATTGAACTCATATTTTTGTTCTCTTCTTGAGAGTAACCCAACGACCCAACGTGATGATGCATTTGCTTGAAGGAAGTTTTTTTTTTTTTATGGAGAATCAATTTTTATTTGCTTGTGAGAGTGAAGTTGAATTTTAGTCAGTAACAATCTTGTATATCACTGTTGATCATTATTAACGAAAATAGACAGATACATAGCCTTAATAGCTTACTGGCTTTGGTACAAATGCCAACTCAACACTTTAACTTTGGTGCATTCCGAACAAATTCAGTTTCATATGTTTTCTACTGTTTTACAAAGTTCTTTGCAGGTATGTCTCCTGGTGATACCAATGTTCTCTCATCTGAGAACATGGTCCTCCAGACATATAAACGCCGTGTCAGAAAGACTGCAAAGGTGATAACAAATGAAGTTTGCAATGCTTATGGTGAAAGTTCATTATCTGAGCAAGAGCCAAAGAAACGTATGTATGAAATGTCGTCATCATCACTGAAATAAAAAAGAATAAGATGTAGCAATGATGGTGACAATTGCAAAGGCATGAATCAAATTGGTGCACATGACAATAATTTGTGCAGTTCCCCTGGAAATTCACTGCATCTAATTCGTAAAGAACATCACATTCCTAGCATGGGAGGTAATTTTGAAAGCAAAATGTCTCGAGATGACAAGGCCGTTATCTATTCCAATGGAAGCCCTACAATTATGCTCATGAATATTGCAGACGAACAGAAGAAGGCACGCCTTACAAAGGTACTATACACGATATGTTTATGTAGTTCACATTATGCTCAAATAAGCTTAATGAATATGGTCACTGACACAGTAAAATAAATTGCAATCTTCTGGTACAAAAAGCTGCATACTCATTCAACAGGTAGTATTTCCTTTTTTTTAATTATGTCATTAGATGAGATTTAGACTTACATGAAGTTGTGGAGTTGTTACATGGCAATAACTTTTTTCAAACTTTTTTCATTAAGCTTTTCTTTTGTGATCAAACAAACTTGCATGTCTATTTTTTTTTTCTCGTGCCCACATTGTTTTCTTCTTTCATCAGCACAACACATTTCCATTTTCTGCCTCTGAAGTATAATAAGCAAATCATTATGGTCCAGGTCATTGAAACGCTTAGGGGGTTTGTTACTTGCGATGGACATTCATGCACACATGTTGTTACTGGAAAAGCTCGCAGGACTATGAATTTCTGTATTGCTTTGAGCTCTGGGTACGTATCCTCATCGTTTGTTAACCAAATGACCAGCTTGTTTTAACCTGTAACAAAATATGGTATCTTGTTATTGACCGAGATCTGGTGGGCATTAAATATAGTGCTTTAACCCTCATATATTGTGATTTTCCTGTTTTATGGTTATTTAACTAATTTAAAAATTCATATGATCCTTGCAGTGCTTGGATAATTTCCCCAAACTGGCTAAAAGAAAGCTTCAGAGAAGGGCAGTTTGTAGGTTAGTTCAAAATCGACTATACAGATAAATATCATTGCAAATGTCTGCACACCGATCGAAGAAAATATGAATGGTGCAGTTTCTGGTCTTCATTAGCCCGGTGGCCCCTGGGCTTCTGTTGGAGCGAAATATCTATGTCCTGGTTATTTTTTGTAAAAGAACGTTAGCTCTTAAAATGGACAACAAAACACAATGGACCCCTTGTCTTCTCTTAGACTTTTCTGCTGTTTTGCAGGAGAAGCACAATATGTTCTGGAAGATGAAGAATATAGTATGCAATATAAGTCTGAACTTAGAGATGCAGTTATGAGAGCTAAAGAAAGGCCTAACTCCTTATTTGCTGGCTATACTTTCTGTCTGTCAAAGCACATCCAGCCCTCTTTTGATGTTCTCTCAGCCATTATTAAGTCTACCGGAGGCAAGGTAACCACATTGTATTGTCTTGTTCTATTATAGCATCTAAAATGTGTGCATAGGCTTTTTAAGAGTGGCACGAATCAACAGCTTATCCAGAATTCCAGATGATTTGTGAACTTGAAACAGTAACCCAGTAGGGCCAGACCTTGCTCCATGCAATTCCTAATATCTGAGACATGAATTTGTGCTATGGCGTCCTTAAAGAGCTATTATTAATAGTAGGCATGTGTTTTTTTTGGGTGAAGGACTGCCATGTTTTTTTAATGGTACAAGAAAATGATTCTTGGACATAAAGATGACCCATAAATAAATGTATTGACTTGATATGAATTCGGGGTGTAATCACTAAATACTGCATGAGGCATGCAACATTCTTGCTTAATTCTCTAGTAAGAAGCATGATTAATACACTGCTTCATTCTAGACTATCTTTTAGAGTTTCAGTTATTAACGTCTGTATGTTCTTTAACAAAATTTATGTCTATATGTTTGGCAGATCATAAAGAAACTGAGTGAGTTAGATGAGCCGTCCCAGACAATCTTTTTGGTCTGTGAAGAGGAGGCAGAACTTGCATTGGCTGCAGCAAAAAGTGGCATCAAAACATTCAGCAGTGATTGGTTCATGAGCTGTGTCATGAAACAGGAACTTGACCTCGAGGTGCCTCAGTTTATTGTATCTCTATGATGTGCCTGCCAGTTCAAGTCCTTTTCCTATGACATCTCTTCCTTCGGTTGGGATATAAATTATTCTACCGGTTCTCTGTAGATATACAGATTTTCTTATCTCCCTAGTTACAAAATCTGAAGTAGTATCAAACTAGTTATCATCCTGTGAAAACGATTACCTGTTTAAATGGAAGACGTTGAGGTGGAGCTATTCCAATTTCCGTAGGTGTTTTTCTATGGAATTTTGGTGTTCAAAATCCACATCAGTACTATAATTTCACTTGATATGTTCACTTGGTGATGATAGAATCTCAAAAGGATGGCATCCCCTGAGTGAACTCCAAAATGAAATAAGTGCTAATTGTAACGTTCGCAGAGGAGGTAAAAGAGGTATTTGTTGGTGTTTTGAGTTATTACTGACGAGTAAATTTCTAGTATTGCGCGTCTGGCTCGGATGGTGTGCTTAGAGGATACGAGGTTTATATTGGTTCGGGTAGAAAAGTTCCTACGTCTAGTTTGTTGTTGCTACTCGTGTTACTAGTATTGAAAATTTATAGTAGAGGTTATAAACGAGCGAGAGAGGGACATGTCCCAAGTCTTTGATGTGCGTGTGCTCCTAAGACGTGTTAGGATGTATGTTTTGATGTCTACCACCGTGTAGAGTGGTGAACCGCCTCTTCCTGGGACGTCTTGCTTCCCCTTTTATAGACGAAGGGGAAGAGCAGGTTACACAGAGAGAAAAAGAGAGAAGAGACAAGGAGAGGAAGGCTTCCAGGACCACCGGGCCTTTCTTTTCCTTTGTGCGGGTCCCGCCGACACTGCAGATGGTGACAGGGACGGCTCCACGCGGGGCGTCTGCTCGCCGCTGATGCCACGCCCTGGCGTTGTCAACGGGTTGTGACGTCCCATTTCGCTCCGGCGGGCGACGCGGCGAACCAGCTCGCTGGTCAGCGGCAGTACAGGGAGTAGGCAGCATAGTGACCACGCGTCCGTCACTGTTGGTGATGTGAGTTCCCTGGAGTGACATGTTGTAGGTACGGGTCATGTTGAGATGTGCCCGCTTCCTGCACGATGCCAGAAGTTTGACTTTGGGTTGTGCTTTCTGGTCTGTAGTGGTTGGCGGCGGTATGAGCTTCCGTCAAGAGCCGCGTCTAACCCAGAGGCTGGGTGAGGCAGAGCCCCTAACCCAGAGGTCGGGCGAGGCGGAGCCCGTCCCCAGCGGTCGAGCGAGGCGGAGCCCGCGGCCTTGGGGTCAGGCGAGACGGAGCCCGCCCCAAGGGTCGGGCGAGGCGGAGCCTGCGGCCTCGGGGTCGGGCGAGACGGAGCCCGCCCCAAAGGTCGGGCGAGGCGGAGCCTGCGCACCTGGGGGTCGGTTGGAGCTGTAGTCGTGCTCTTGACTGCTTCGATGAATCAATGTTGATGACTATTAGCTCCTCCTCTTCGGGTACCCTAGTATTGGTCCCCGACAGTAGCCCCCGAGCCTGTGGAGGAGTAGGATACTCAATCGGAGGCTTTTCCGAACGGGAGGACTCTGAGGGCCTCGGCCTTCTTTTGTCGCCCACGGTGTGTCCTGGGGACGACGATTCCCTTTCGTCGTAATCGGACCCCTCGGGGGTATGGCCCTGAGATTTGGTGGGTTGGAAAAGGTCTTTTCTAAGTCCGACCCCTACGGGGGTTTGTCGTTCTACGACCGCGCGTTTGGTCTCCTTGCGAGTCCAACTTTCCTTGAACCCCCGCCCGTAGCAGGGGTCCGGTCGAGGGTCAGCTCGTCTTTGTGATCGTCTTCCCTCATGCATTTTTTCCGATAAAAACGAAGGGGTTGAGCCGTGCCATGATTTTCCTCTATGGACGAATCATGGTGCTCGGTGGGCTGTTAACGGGCTAGTTCGAGTGGGGCCTTGGCACACCGTTCGTCGGGGTCCAGCTTGGGTTAGCTGGTGACTGACTCCAGATTCTTAGCGGTCAATCCATATAGTTCTTGGATCCGTTCGACCGGTCGTGAGGGCTCTCTGCCTTTCTTTGAGGAAAAACCATGGATCGTATCCGACCGAGACTCGAACGTGGGCCGGGGTGCCCGCGACACTCATGCGCCCGGGACTGGCCGCTAGCGGGCCCATGCCTTTCCACCCCTCACTCTAAAGGTGCCCAGAGCGGTTGTCAAACCCGTTGGTGGGCCAACCTTCGAACTCCTAGGCCTAGATAGGCCGTAGGAGCGTTTTCAGCTCTGTATCCCTCTTTACCTGTGACGGGTCGTGGGCCGTTCGGGGAGGCAAAACGTCCGGCGTGTTTTCCGAGGGGACAACCATAGGTTGCGTGTGCACGCCCCGTGACAAGACATGGTGACAGGTCGTGGTAGGCGCGGAGATCTAGGCGGGCGGTTGGTTTCCTCGCACCCATCGCCCCTATAAAACCAAAGGGTTAGCCCTCCATGTTTCATACGCATGCCTGTATCCTTACCTCCGCAGCCTCGCCGCCGCCAACGCTTAGGTTTCCTGCCTTCGCATCTCCGCCACCGTTGAGCTCGCATCCATCCACCCCCACCTCCAATGGATCCACGGTGTCGTTCCGACATCACCTTCCAGCGCATGGAGGGCCTCGTCCATCATGATCTTCTCTGCGTGCGGACCTTGGCTGAGGAGTGGTTGCTGCCCGGCGACGATGATTTGCCGTCGCCGCCTGATGGCTACGTGGTGTCGTTTGCCCACTTCCACGAGCATGGGTTCGCGATCCCTGCCCACAGATTCCTTCGGGGGCTGCTGCACTTCTACAAGATTGAGCTGCAACATCTCAATCCCAACGGGATCCAGCACATGGCGGCGTTCGTAGCGCTATGCGAAGGATTCCTGGGGATCAGCCCCCACTTCGACTTGTGAAGGTATTTCTTCGCCATCAATCTCTAGAAGAAGAGGGAGAAGGGCGGCAAGAAGGAGCTGCACAAGCCGATGGGGTGCGCCGGCATCCAACTTCAGAACAACCGAGTCGGTGAGTACCCGTCCATGCGGCTCTCAATGTCCAACAAGGGGTGGCACTCGCAGTGGTTCTACCTCAAGAATGATGCCACCGACCCTCTGCCAGAGTTCACTGGGCGCCTGATTGAAGAGGCCCCGGAGCAGTGGAGGAAGTGGGGCGTCCTAGAGGACAAGAAGAAGATCCGAGACCACATCGCCACCATCCACATCCTAAAGGAGAACGGCCTAAAAGGGTAAGGCATCATCGGGGCTTACCACATGAGGAGGGTGGCGCCATTGATGACGTGCGTGCTCCCGCTATATGCGATGGCGCCCGAGGCGTCGTTCGACGGAACGACACTCGCCAAGGGAACGCTCTCCAACTCTGAGATCACGTAACATGTAACAGAACCGACCAAATCATAAGAACGTAAGTACAAAAACAATCACCGAAGCGATCAAATTCCTGTACTTAAGCTCCCATAATCCCGGTAGTCCGGAAATCACGAAGGATTTCAACCAACTCTCGACATACAAACCAAGATCGTAATGATTCAACACAACACATCATTCGTTACAACATTTCACAAGTAGCATTCGGATTACATCCATCAGAGTTCAAATAAAATATTACAAACCAAGTTTGAGTGTGCGGAAGCAACATAGTTTAGTACATAACTTCATAGTTTCAATTACGTTGCCAGATCAGAGTCATGTCCCACAAAAGCATTATCAGGTACGAGAACTAGTAGAGACCGCAGCAAGCGGTCTAGTCTTCATCCCAGCGAGGGAGAAAGGCGTACTTGCGACAACCAAAGAAGAACCGGTCATCACGCAGCGGTGGGAAATAAACCCTGAGTACGAGAAGGTACTCAGCTAGACTTACCCGACAAAAATCAGAATTAAAAGACACCAAGGATCATGCAAGGCTTTTCAGGTGGGCTAGCTTGGCACATTTGCATAAAAGAGCTTATGAGCATAGTAACCAATTTAAACTTAGCATCAAGCTTATCATCATTTACCCATCCACTAGATTAGCTTTTTTGTACTAGAGCACTCACTTATTAGGAGCAAACAATATTAACCATAGCAGGTATAATAAAGGTGGCATCATCATATCATCATTTCCGAACCATTAAGTATTAAGTGTATCTACATTGGAGATAAGCCCGTCAAGTTCTCACTAACTTGGGAGGCGGCGATTGAATCGAATTACAACTCAGGTGAGGGGTATTCCTAACTCTCACCTGGCATACTTTGCAAGGGTAGCCGTGGGTCACCTTTGGAACATCTCGGGAACCAAATTCATGGGTTCGATCGGCGCCCGGCACTCTCGGGGATTACCTTACGCCGGGGACGATCGGGACTTTTAAATCACACTGCCCTTGGACTCACGCCTCGGCTCCCTTCGAGGCGCACTTTATACTTATCGACTCCCGGCCGAGGTGAGCTACTCGGCCAGCGGTCGGTCATCGGACCTGACCAACTAAGAGAGAGGCATGCGTTCAACATGAGCAGGAAAGGCTCCAAGAATGGGTCCTTAAAAGCGACTGAGACGGAGTCACTTTGCAAACCGACAAGCCTCCGTCCAGGTCTTCATTTCAAATTAAGACTGGTTCTTTTCCACGATAGCAAATATAATAACCGCGTGCCACATGTATCTTCCTATATCTCTCGCGGGTGGGAAATCACCCGACTTCTACGCGTTGAAGCGGGGCTAAGCACTACTCGAGCTGAGCTACATAGGATTGAGGTAACAATATCTGGACAAGGAATGGGTAACCAATGCGGCAAGTGTTTGCATCCAACACCTAAACTTAATGCAACAATATATGTAATAATATCATCAGAATGCTGCAGATTCGGAAAATAGGAGGCTTAATATGCTCGGGGCTTGCCTTTCACGAAGTTGCAAGGGCGGTGGTCGGGGCACTCAATGGCGACTAAATCGGCACTTCTCTGAAGGTTGCTCCTCCACGAATCTCGGCGTCGCTGCTTTGCTTTCGCTTTCGGTTCCTCAATTCAATGAGGTTACTCCTTCCGGTACACCTATTGCATGCCGATGCACAAG